ACCCAACAACAAACAAAACAACCAAAAACAACAACACACACGCAAAAACAAACAAACAAAACAAAACAAAACAAACAACAAACCCCCCAAAACAAAAGCAAAAACATACTCTGTAGCCATGTCCCCGACCAATCAGGCCCAGCATCGCCTGTGTTGTTATGACATTCGATCACTTTGTGTGTGTTGTCACGGGAAAAAATAGACAGGACAAAAAAGACTTTCGTATTGTTGTTTTCACTTTCACTCAGGGAAATCGCTCACAGCGTTGACGTTTCGCGTTCTTTTCTGTTTCTTTAAACTGTACGCAATAGTTGTTGTCTCATTTTATACAATAGTTCTTGCCTCGCTGCCATCTGTAAGCTTGTTTCCTGGATGTTGTTGTTTATTTTTTTGTTTTGGGGGAGGGGGGGGTGTTTTCCTCAGTATTTTTCAGCGCTTTGGACAAGAGCTTGTTGCAACACTCGCAGCAGAGTGTTACCACATTACTGACGTAGTAGACACGTAACACGTCCGACCGCTCCGCACACCATAAGCCATGTTGTGCAAAGTTGGGTTTGTTTTTTTCAGAAGTGTTTAACGGCGCTCGCAACTTCATAACGTCGTATGAGCGCGTGGGACACATTAAGCATTTTCAGTTTGATGGGAATTAATTTTGAATTTTCCCTGGGTGGTGGTTGATATCTACTGCCATCAATAATGACCTCCAAGGGATCTTTGATGGGCGCTACTTCACGCGGGACCTGCAAGGTTTTTTCGTCCTAGTCCGAGAAGTGTAGAACCTGGTATTAAATCTTACCAACCCTAAGATCAGGGATGTGGCTGAAAGACAGCAGTAAGAAGGACCCAAGGAGTAGAAATAGAAAGGCTGTAGAAAGAGTAAGGACCTGTTCAACATTAAAACTCGAACGAGCAATAAAGGAAACATTTGAAAGATCTTTTTGAATAACGAATCTTTACTTAACTTTCAATGTTTAATTTCTTAGTGTTATTTTTCAAGTGTATTTATTATTACTATTTTTAAAACTAACTGTAGACTACGAGTCCCCAAGTGTTGCCCCCTCGCCATCCCACAAGGGCAGTGCTACTGACTGATGTTGTCTTTAGGACATTCCCAAAGGGGGGATATTAAAATGTTCTTATGCGCAGTACGAGTAGCATTGTAAACATGCTGACTTATCAATACCATGCTCATACTGTGCCGGAACAACGTAAGGGGAACTGCTGCTTTTTCTTTCTTCGTCTTTACTATCGTCATTTCCCCCCTACTTCTTTTGCAATGTTTGTCACTCTCTTGTGAACTGCTATTTCCGGGGTGCCTTGATAGTCGAATCAGACTTTATGCTGTTGAGGCTAGAGAGGTGAGCAGATTAAGGCCTGATTCCCCGTTTGGACCTCTCTGTTGACACCCACCCCTTGGCGCTCATATGACCTTAGGCAGTTGCGAGCGCCGTAAAACCTTACTAAAACTGACAAGCGTAGTTGAATGATAAAAATGCACTTCCTTATTGAGATAACCGTTGGTTGACTTGCCGGACTCGTAATCGTGAGATTGTGGATTCGGGCGTCTGAGCCTCAGGTTGTCGGCTGGACGTTGTGTCCTTGGGAGAGGCACTTTACACGAATGTCTTATTTGGCTTTGTCCTTTTGCAAAATGGCTACACCACAGAAGTTGATATCGATCTTCTTTCTATTGTTTAAAGATTCAAGTTAAAAATAATCATCATCATCCGGTGCCTTGCCGACTGACGTGGGCGATCACGGACCTCCACTTTATATATTAAAAAATAATAAAACCCCTTAAAACACAAATAAAACAAACCAAAATTAAAAAAACCCCAAAGAGACAAACTAACACATACGCTGGCACAATATATTTTTTTTGCAACGGTTTTCAAAGTTGAATTCTCTATTTCTTGCTATAATGAAAACCCTTAAACTCTTCGCCTGTTTCTGACTGAAGGTACAGCGGAATGTGCAACCTCAAATTCTCAGAGGAGTACTGGTAACGAAATGGGTTGGGGTTTTTTTTTTCCCCCGTGTTTTCTTTCCCCCCGTGTTTTCTTTTTTCCTCTTGTGTCATTGAGCACAGTTTCCGCTTTGATGATTTGATTGTTTGTTTGTTTGTTTGTTTGTTCGTTCGTTTGTTTGTTTGTTCGCAGCCTCAAATTCGCAGAGGATTACTTGGGTATGCTTTGCTCCTCCTTTCTTATTTCTCCTTCTTCCCTTTGTTACTCTCTTGTAAGACCTCTAATCGCCTGCAAGTGGCGTAAAACTCTTACTAAATCGAACAAACAGGAGAACACTGGTAATGAAATGGGTTATTTTTGTTTCCCCGTTTCTCTTTGAGTAGAGGGTTTTTTTCCCTCCCACTTTGCTTGCTGAATCGTTTGCTAGTAGTTTATTTTCGATCTAAAAATCCACAGAGGAATAACTGGTAACTCGAAATGGCTTGTTTAAAAAAAACAAACTTTAAAAATCTCGCT